CTATCCTTTTGTTTTTAACCTATCTCAGTCTTTGTATTTAAAGTGGGTTTTCTATAGACAACCTAGAGTTGGGCGTTATTTGTGTATTCAAGGAGTACTTTGGTGGTGAAAATCGTTAACCCTCAACTACTAACCAAATGGCTGGCAGTTCAAGCTCCCCAGGGGCCACAGAAGAAAGATTTGGTGATCTGTTTTCAAAAATGCAATCATTGAAAGTCCTATGGCGTGCACTTCTACTTTAAACACAGAGGCTCGCCATGAGTTAGAAAGTTAGAAACAATTTTATGAAGTATTTGTTTTGGTGTGATATGTTTATCCACGCTGATCACCTGTGTCTTTTTATTGCTGTATTTAGACCATTCATATTAAAAGTAATTATTGGGTTAATAACTTGGGTATACTTGTATACTTGGGTTAATAACCACCATCTTTGTAACTCTCTTTTATGTATTTTATTTGTTGTCTGTGCCTCCACCCCTTTCTACTTTCTCTTCTTTTGACCATTTTACACTATGACATTTTATTTCCTCTCAGCATATCAGTTTTACTTCTTTAAAAAAAAATCTTTAGTTGTTCTGGAGTTGACAGTATACATTTGACATTAGTCTAAGTTATCTTCAATACCCACCATACAGTTTCTAATGTAGAGTAGGAACCTTATCCCAGAGCATCCCAATGATTCCTTTCTACTTCTATGACCCTGCTGTCATTCATACACAATTCCTTATGCTAAAATCATCCCAAATACCATCGCTATTGCTATTTTTAGGGGGGGTTCTATATAAACTAGAAATAAAAATGTTATTTTTCTATTAGACTCTTGTTAGTATGGCAGTCAGGTGTAAGCGAGGAGCCAAATGCCATGCATGTGATTGAATCTCAGTGCTTTAGAGAGATTGTGTCCCAGGGCTGTGACTTTTGAAAGTGTTTCTCCAGTAGGGCAGCACTGTTCTAAGCTCCGTTTCCTTCTCCTTTCTGTAAAGTTCACAGTCTATTTCTTTGAAGTCCTGACTGCTATTGCCTGTGCCTAACAGGAAGGCTAGAGTGGGTGAAATCCCCTTCTTCCACTTGGGATACAGCTCTGGCAAACAGGACTTCGCTATGGAGAAGTCTCTGGAGTACTTCACAATGTCTCTTCCCCTCTGTGTGCTTTCACTCATCTCTTCACCACCAGAACCTAGAAATTATCTGCAGGTAAAGCCCATGAGGATATGGGTTACCTCTATGATTAGCACCCCTAGCAGTTTCTCTGTATAAGAAACTCATATGACTTCATATCTGTTCTCTAGCAATGCACAGAAATAGCCACTTAAGTGTTTCTACCAGTTCATGGTGCCAATGGGTTCTACTCTAATGCCTTCTATAGCACATCTCTGCTGTAACTCTCTTCATGCAACTGACTCTCCAGATTTGGTGATGTGATCTGTCTTCCCATCTGAGTTCTCTGATGTGTCTAAGAAAAGCCACAGGATTTTATTTATTTTTACCCTGTTCTGGTTCTAAGGTCAGAATTGATGGCTCCCAAGCTCTTTGAAATACTGGACCAGACACCACTGGGGTCGACCCCCACATCCTTGTTTTACATAATTGTTTTGGGTTTTACTCAAAGTATTTGAGTCTTGGAAGGCTACACTACTGGCAACCAGACCCTTCCCAGCTTCCTCCTGGTTATGGGGTCCTCCTGTTACAAATTTCCCGACACTGTTTTGGGCTCCTCTCCAAGTACTGGAAAATAAGACTTCAGCTGGCGATGAGCAGACCCGGTGTACCTACAGATTGTGAAGGGGACACCAGGTATGCAGAGGATAGGGGACTCCCAACTGATGCTGTAGGTGGTCAGCTGCACAGGAGGCAAGTCACAGCAGCTGGAAGAATTGCTGTTATCATTGACCATGCTTCCTTGTACTCTGCTGAGCTGTGGAAGGCTGTCGCCATCATGGAGAAGGAGGCAATCAACACTCTCACAGTACTGTGAAACACAGGATCTACAGGCCCCAGGGCTCTCTATGATTGGTG